ATTTTATTTTAATAATATGAATTAAATTATTTTTATTTTTTGTAATAGTTTATTTAAAAAATTATAATTTTAAAATAATTTTTTTATTTTTAAAAAGTAAAATAAATAAACACCAACCCCTTACGATATTAAGTAATAAATTAAGATTTATTTATACTTATCATTTCATGGTTTCGGGTACATGTTAATTATGATGATTTTAAAAATTATTTCATGTTTTTTTCATTGGCTCTATTTTGATAATTTGTAATTCAATTAATTATTTTTTACATTCGATATAATTTATTCTCAAAACAGAAACAGGACATTTTTTCTTTTTCTTTCTTGAACTGGAAAATTGAATTTCCAATTCATTTTTTCATTTCCCCTTTCGATTTTCTGTTTTTAGTCTACAATTTTTATTTCTTTTTTCCTTTTTCTTTTTTTTTTCTTTAACTGTGATACCAAATGATACCCTAAGTTTGTAAACTCCTTTTGGGATGCTTGAAACTAAAGTGTGAATATTAACAACAATTAAATGGTGTGATGAAACACTATTATTGAGCTTGCCAGCATCCCCCTATGCCATTAAAACTTAGAAATTAAAGATTTAAATGAGAAAAACGAACAATATGCTTCTGTGAGTTTGAGGTTGATTTGCTAAAGCAAAATACTGTAAACCATGTTGATCTCAATCATTAAGAACACATTATTGTGGTAATTTGACGAAAGTGGAATTTCCATTATTGCAGCTGAGAGATTACCCTCTCAGGTGGGATTACTAACATGTTTGCTCAATCATTGAATTGTTCATTATAGTTTCTTCCAACCAAATTTCATTGAGTCTCATTTTCAAATATGTTGTAGTGAAGAACGTCAACGTACAGCCACAATACGCAAATGCTTTTTCTATGTTGAAGTATTCAATTTGCGAAGTGTTAAAACTAGTAGATTGTTTTAAGTAGTAGAGAATTAACAGAAACATCTTGATCTCTCGGGGTGAGATCATTAAATCTCAGTTTTCCCAATGGGCCTTACGCTGGCCCAAATAGTTTTACAATTTTCCTGACCCCCTTTTTTTTTTTTTTTTATGCAGCAGGCCCATCATGTGTAGAATACCCTCATGTATACAATTCCTTCATGACATTTGATAATAACCTCTTCAAAATTCCAATGATCAATCCTTTGTTGGTAAATACAAAGCTATAACATCTATTTGTTGCTAGCATTAGGATAAAGAAATACTAGCGACTATTTTTTGCACTCTTTTTCAAGACTCACGTAATACTTATTTTCAATTGAAATAACTTAATTTGTTGTGCGCAATTAATAAAAAATACGTGCTTTATGGGTAAAAAATATTGTGATTGTGAATGTTGATGAAAAAAAAAATATATATATATATATATAAGTGTTATTATCACTTCTCTTTTTACTAACAAATAAATCATTATTTCAAAATAAAACAAAAGAAGAAAATTAAAAAAAAAAAGAAAGAAAAGAAAAAAAAAGAGAGAGTAGATAATCAACCTGAAAAACCACACATTTAACTATTATGCCAAATCATCTAGAGCCTTAATGTTCAACAATTTTCAAGAAAGAAAACCAATCACAAATCATTTCAAACATAAACAAATAAATAAAATCAAGAAAAAGGAACACGGCAGATTTAGACAAAAAGAAACCACGTAATGTCTGTTGCAACAAGGAACATGTACCAAAAAGAAAAAGAAGTACAGGAGCTGAAATCTAGCTGACATCTTTCCTCTTCACCATCATCATCGCCAACAACTTTCTCATTCACGCCCAGCTATAGTAATCACTGCAACACAAAGCTTATGATTAATATATATAAAGAAGGAAATTAAATATTTATAAAGTTAGACAAAGAATGAGTTAATGAAAGAGTTACCTA